CCCAAGCGGCCCCACGAGGAGCCCGAACGACTCACACCAGGACGAGGGGCCCGAACGACTCACACCACGAAGAGCCCGAACGACTCACACAACAAGGAGGGGCCCGAACGACTCACACCAGGACGAGGCGCCCGAACGACTCACACCACGAGGAGCCCGAACGACTCACACCACGACGAGGGCCCCGAACGACTCACACCACGATGAGCCCGAACGAGTCACACCAGGAGGAGGGGCCCGAACGACTCACACCAGGACGAGGGGCCCGAACAAATCACACCACGAGAAGCCCGAACGACTCACACCAGGACGAAGAGCCCGAACGACTCACACCACGAAGAGCCCGAACGACTCACACCAGGAAGAAGGGCCCGAACGACTGACACCAGGACGAGAAACCCCAAACGACTCAAATCACGAGGAGCGCTTTGACTCCCTCCTCCTCCGCCTCGTCCTTCTCCCGCTCCCCCCACAAGGAGGATGTACAAGGAGGCGGGAGGAAGGAGGAACAGGGGAGATATGCGGGGCCAAGCGGACACACGCCTGAAAAACACGACTGTCGGCATGCTTCGCAAGAGTTGCTGCTGTGAGATGGGCTGGTGGGGATACGCGAAGCGTAAAGAATTGTTTAAGACGGGCCACCTCTTCCCACGCAGGCGCTGGCGGGCGTGGCCACTCGGGTGATCCTCGGAAGAGGCGCTGCGGCGCCGGCAGCTCGAGGCGAGGTTGGCCCAGCCGCTGCCTGGCCGCGGGCAGTCGGTGCCCCGAGCTGAGACACGGGGCTGAACCTAAACGGTGTTTGTCGTTTTCGTTTTGTCTTCGTTTTCCCTCGCTCTTGTCTCGAATCCGCCTCAACTGCAGAACGAGGTCGAAACGAAAACGGCCCACGAAAACACCGAAAACATCGCTTTTTAGGTCCAGCCCTGCTGAGGCGCTCGCGCTCGCCCCGGCCCTGGAGCAGACCTCCGGGGACCACGAGGCCCTGGCCCCGCCCTGGAGGAGGAGACTCTGGAGACTCTGCCTGATCGCGTAGCGATATGATTCAAATAAAATGGTCACACGGATCAGCGCTCTTATCAACAATGATTCGAGATACGGATCACAACGGACCACGACATTAAGTGCCATCTCGTATGAGATCCCCAATGGGGGTGATGCGGTGTTCCAGCGCAGAACCCCACAACACGACACAGATCGAAGAAAAAACGGCTCACTGGGAGACTGGAAATGAACACGCACAACAATTGTGTTACAACGCATTCACATGGTTCCGATGGAAAAGGAAAGTACGGTGTGCAGGACATAAACTTGAACGGCCGTGGGATAAATTGGGCACCTCCATCTCGCCTCGTAATGCGGCGAGGCATCAACTCGGGATTTGTATCACAACACCACATCAGTATGCTGCAACCAGCCGCAGGCCTGGCCGACCCTGGGAGCTGATCACCAGGCGCCAAGAAAGGAACAACCAGAGCACGAGATGTCCGCATTTCCCTTGCACGCCCAAGCCGAGTCCAGTGCACCGACTCCGTCTGCACCGAAGGCGTCCCTCTGCGTTCCGTTCCCCAGGTGAGCGAGTGCAGTATATGTCTGGTGCGCCCATGTTCGCGGAGCATGTGTCGAATACCGAAGAGAACGACCGCCCGCCAACCTGAGACGTTCCGTCGTACAGCACATCTGAAATATGGTGAAATACAAAAATAAGAACTGTAACACTGTGCACAATTCGGAGAAATCCCGTAGGAAACTACCATTGGCCAAACACTGGTACGAGCCCATTGCGACACGGTAAGTGAAGGCGCGCCGACGGGCTTGTATGTGAGTGGACCCCAACCCACTTTGGCACAGTAGGTGAGAACGTGCCGATGGGCATGTGGGGTCGTCTGCTGCCACTGCCGCCCTTCTCGCATGTACCGATCCAAGCATTGTAGCTGAAGGCGTTGGGCCTCGCTCGGCAGCGCCACCGTCCGCTGCCTCGGTTTGCTCGTCTGGCACGCGCTGTTCCAGGCGTGGCGGCACCAGCTCGTTGATAGAATAAAGCGGCACTGTAGATGACGCCACCAGCAAGCGCCAGGGAACCCCCCTTGCGGTGATGAGGGGTTGCAGCACTAAGGGTGACGACACCTGCGGGGGCTGATGGCTCCGGATCCTGCCGGAGGCTGAGTGCCCTAGGGCGGCCGCCTCAGTTCGTCCCACTTCGTCGCCCAGAAAAGCGGCAAATACGGTGCCGAAGCCTGGGCGTCCCTCAAGCGCCGACGTGGAGGCGTGGGACGTGACCATGACCCAGCGATAAGCCAAAAAGCGGGCGGCCGCTCCCCCCCCCGCCCGTGTGGGTCGAGGGGTTGCCGAAGCCCGTGGGAAGAGCCCACGGAGGAGCGGCGCCTGCGGGGCCTACGGATGGGACGGGGCCACATGTGCTTGAGCCGCCCTGGAGGAGGAGGAGGAGGAGGAGGAGGAGGAAGGAGGAGGAGGAGGAGGTGGAGGGGAGGAGGAGGAGGAGGAGGAGGAGGAGGAGGAGGAGGGGGGGATGAGGAGGGGGGAGGAGGATAGGAGGGGAGGAGGAGGAGGAGGAGGAGGAGGAGGAGGAGGAGGGAGGAGAGAGGAGGAGGAGGAGGGGGGAGGGGGAGGGGGAGGTGGAGAGCCACACGATCGCCCAGTGAGGACCCCAGGGCCGCCCAGCAGGCCCGAGGAGCCGGCCCCGGCCACTCGGGAGCGGGCGGGCTCGCACGCCAAGGGCGGTCCAGCGGATCGCCCGCTGGCGGATCGCGGCCGCTCCTGGCCGCTGGCCAGTGCAGCTGCTGCCGGGGGAGGGGAGGCTGGGCGGCGGAGAGGGCGCGGGAGGCGAGGCTCGTGGAGGCGACGGCCCACGCAGACTGCTGGGGCGCGAGGGCTGCTCTGGTGCGCACGCGAGCCTGCAGGGCCCCAGAGTGGACCCTGGAGGGAGACACGGGCCGCGCGGAGCGCGAAGAGATTGCGCGAAGGCCCTTCAGGGTCTCCAGAGCGGAGATAACCGCGCGGGACTCCCAGCATGAGCTCTCCAAAGTAGGGTCCAAGTGGCGCTGTGAGAAGTGTGCCCAGCTGGTGCGCTCGAGCTCCCTGGTCAAATTCTGCGCCACGCCCTGCGCAAACCCTGTGCCCCAGGCCTTGCCGTTGCACCAACAAGGGCCTCGGGCCTGCGAGGAGGTTGCCAGGCCTGGATTGCGGGAGGGTTTGCGCGCCACCCATTCGCGGGGAGGAAGGTAAGTATTGCATGACGTGCTGCCACGTGTGTGGCCTTTTCGCCAACACCGATTGTCGGCATCTCCGCAAGAGGTGACCGGGCCACACGAGGAAAGAGGCTGAGAATTTGTCGCGGATCGCCAAGGGGCTCCATCTAAGAAGTGGCCCCCTCGTGCGGTCCGTGAAGCGGCCTTTCAGAGCGTGTGCGCAGAGGCCGTCTCTGCTGCTGCTGCTGCTGCTGCTGCTGCTGCTGCTGCTGCTGCTGCTGCTGCTACTGCGGCTGCGGCTGCGGCTACTGCTGCTGCTGCTGCCTCGTCCGGGGGCATCGGGGGTGACGCTGTCGGACCCTGCTCCGTTGGTTGCGTCTCTGCCGAGAGAGCTGGATCCTGAAGAGGATGCTGTCAAGTGGATGCTTGAGAGTCAAAGGGCGCTGGACGTTTCGCGCAGGGAATCTGATGTCAGTGCGGAGGGCTTGGAGCGAGGCTCTCGCATCGCCCCTGACCCACCGGTGCCGCCATCAGCGGCAACGCGAGCGGTCGTAAGCACCGCAATTCAGTGAATTGAACTTATTTGACGGAGGGCGAATTACGTTAGCGTGGGTCCTCAACTCTCGCTGAGGTGGCCCGTCATCCGTGCCACATGGATGGCTGAACCTAGAATCCTTCGCTAGAATCTTCCCCTCCCGCCCTCCCGCCCCCAGGGCGGCGCTGGAGGCGCTGCCGGATCCACAACGGCTGTGGGATCACATAGCCCAATAGCTTGGTCAGACTTTGGCGCAACGTTTAAGCCACGTAGGAGTTTCCAGAAAGGCATGAAGCTGTGGTGGTTCGCCGTAGGCGTCTTCGATAACTCCCCCTGTCCCACCACCAGACATGTCCGTAGGCCAGGCCAGGCGTTTCGCTTGATAGCTTCTCGCGACTTACTACTACCGTCAAGCTCAACAAACTCCAACAGCTACAAGGATGCAAGGCGGCACGTTTACAATTCTGGGTGTTCGCCGTGGAGCCGCGCACATGCGCCTTAAACACTGGCAACACTTACAAAAAGGCTGGATGCTGCTCCGTTTCAGAACTGGGCTCAAGCGGATTTGTTCGTCAGACTTACCGGCCCAGCAGCTTGAACATGGGCAACAGCTGCAGGGATGGAGGGCAGATCCTTTTCCAAGGCTTCTCGGAGGTTTCATCACAGTCGGCGGCCAGGAAAGATAACAACAAAACTTTTGATCCGCGGGTCGAGAGCGAGCCTCTTCCGGTCGAAGCTCAGCGGGCCGCGCACAGCTTCAAGTAACAGAGGAAAAAACAGAAGGAGGGGCCTCACGTCAAGGCCACGAGAGGGCAAAGCCCCGGGATCAGATAACAACAAAAAACACGTGCAAGTGTGAGACGGACTGGGGGCGGCTTCCTCGTCAGCACGGGGCTCTCTCGTTGGACACCGCGCCGAGCCTGAGGACTGCACACTTCGGCATGCCCTGCGCTTCGCTGGCAGCGGTGCAGGGCAGCCAATTGCTCTTCGGGGCACATGCCCGAACGGCAGGCCCCCTCGGGTGCTCGCCTCCCAAAGGGCGCTCCTGGCAGCGGAAAAGGCGAGGCCCGCGGGAACCTGTGAGGAGGGGAGCCCTGGGCCGCGAGGGTGCGCTGCAGCATTGCTGACGCACCCTGGGTTTGCTTTATATGTCGGGCGTATCCCCCTACAGGGGGAGCTTCGACGAAAAATAGACAGTACCCCAGAGACACCCCAAAAAGGCAAAACAATACTCAATAAAAAGTCCCCAGACTATTTTTGATATATGTTTCGATTATTTTCAGGGTATGTTTTATTCTTCGTCGAAAATCCCCCTGCAGGGGGACAGGCCCGACCTAAGGTTTGCTCTCGACCTCCTCCCCGTCCCCGGATGGTGCCCAGCACGGTGGGGTCATCTTCCCCTCGGTGGGGGGCCCAGATCTCCGGCATCTGGACCCTTCCACAACGTGGAGCCCGGCAGGTCTAGACCCCACCCCTTCCCCTGGACCAGATCGTTGTCCTGCGCACCTGTTTGACGCTCCTGGGGCCCGGCGAGGGCCCCCCGAGGCCGAAAGTGGCCCCACAGCCCTCCGTCGCGATGCTTCCGCAACGAGAGGCGGGGGGCAAACCTCCCTTGTTAGTAAACCTCCCCTTAGTGAAAACGGCCTGGGACCGAAAACGACGGCCCTGGACCCGCACAAGTGACGGCCGCGACGCCCTCTCGCGAACCGAAAACGACCAATTCGCTAATCGACGTGTCAGGGTAGGAGGTCTACGGTAGAGGGGAACGATTAGAGGACACCCCCCCATCCCCAAATTCACAATTGGCACGCGCGGGGAAGACTGCGGTCGAAGTGCAACTCGCTCAACCCATCACCAGCACTGATCATGGGGGGGGCATTGACAGGTGAAGATGGCATGACTGTTCCCTAATTTCTTCCGAGGCCTGTATCAACCTCCCCAGAGATCCAACGTCTTGAGAAAATCAGGACGGAGGTTTTTCTAAATTTTCGGCCTCTGGGGGCCCTCACCGGGCCTCGGGACCGTCAAACAACGACGCAGGAGGAAAAACTGGTCCTGGGGAAGGGGTCGGGACTTAGGTCCCCGGGTCAGGACGGCGTCCCTGGAATTCCAGGGACGCCGTCCTGAAAAAAACACGACGTCGGATCTCTGGGCAGCTGGTTTCGGCCCCACCGAGGGGCCCATTCCTCGATGCATGGCCGCCTCCCGGCGCCGGGAGGCGCCGGGAAAATCAGCTCCGTGGGCTGATTCTCACCCCCCCCTTTGCTATCCCCCCCTTTCGCCCGGCCCGAATCTCCGGAGGCCTTCCAGACACTCCCTGGCTTTGCTGGCGCGTCCCCGGGGGTTCACTTCCAGGGACGCCGTCCTGAAAAAATCACGACGTCGGATCTCTGGGTCCGAATCGAGAGGCGGGGGGGGGGGAGGCCGGAGGAGGAGGAGGAGGAGGAGGAGGAGAGAGGTGCGGGAGGAGGAGAGGAGAGGAGAAGGAGAGGAGGAGAGGAGGAGGAAGGAAGAGGGGGGAGTGAGGAGAGGAGGAGGGGGGAGGAGAGGAAGAGGAGCAGGAGGAGGAGGAGGAGTAGAGGAGGAGGAGAAGGAGGAGGGGGGAGTGAGGAGGAGGAGGAGGAGAGAGAGGAAGGAGGAGGAGAGGTTAGAGAGAGAGGAGGTGGAAGAGAGAGGAGAGAAGGAGAAGAGGAGGAGGAGGGAGGAGGGTAGAGGAGGAGAGGAGGAGGAGGTGAGAGGAGGGAGAATGGAGGCCCGCGGCCTCCGCGGCCGGGCCCCCCGGGGGCGGAGGCCGCCGGGCCCCCCGCGCGGCGGCGCCGAAGAACCTCCTGGCCGTGGGCATGGGCGGCAGGGGCTCCCAGGTGCCCGTGGCGGGGTCGAAGCGCTCCACGGCCGTGAGGGCCCCGCCGCCGTTCCTGGGGGGAGCTCTGCGGGTCTCTCGGCGCGGCCGCGCGGTGCGGGGAAGGTTAGGACGACTCGACTCGACGACGACGACGACGACGTCGACGTCGACGACGACGACGACGCCTTCCACTCGGCCTGCTACTCCTGCCCGCCGCTCCCTCGTGCAAGCGCCACGGCGAACGCGTGCCACATGTCTTCCCTGGGCCGAGAGGGCCCCTCTTCGGCCTCCCGGGAAGCAGTCCGCGACGGGACTTGGAGGAGGAAGGGAACGGGACGTGGAGGAGGGCGGGCGGGGCGCAGAGAAAGGAGGGAATGGGGGGCGCGAGACTGCGGACGGATGAGAAGGAGGAGGAGGATGAGGAGGATGAGGCTGAGGCTGAGGCTGAGGAGGAGGAGGAGGAGGAGGAGGAGGCGGATGACGATGACTGCGGCGGCAGCGGCGAAGAGAGAGGGCCGTGGCCGGCCATGTGGCGCGTCAGGCCCTGGGCCTCCCTCGCAGTCAGTCGGATCGGCCGCGCAAAGGTACGCACCACCGCCACGCAAACGGGCCGCATCGGATCTCCGGAACGTCGGTTTGGAGGCCCGAATCGGTGCGTTGACGGACCGTGCGGTGACCTCGAAATCCCCCAAGACCTCACCGCACGCTTTTGGGACCCTGGAGGCCCCCGTCGCCCGAGACATCCTCCGAGAGGGACTCGAGTCCCCAAACCGTGCGGTGACCCCGAATCCCCACCGACTCACCACACGGTGTGGTCACCACACCGTTTGGGGGCTCCCGAGTCGGGATCGAATCGGATCGAGCCGGCCGGAATCGATGTCGAGTATACTCGATCGTATCGAAATCGACGCTGCCAGCCCAAAGGGTAGCCCGAGAGGCTGGCCAGCGAAAACGACCACACGGGCCGAAGAGGCAAGGACGCAAGGGCACCCTTGAGAAATCGCGCGGCCTTGCCATGCGCGCTGACTGTGGCATCAAATAAACGGATACTGAGGGAAACGGGTCCTGCATCCTGGGTTGGGGCTCTAGGAGGAGGAGGAGGAGGAGGAGGAGGAGGAGAAGCAGGAGGAGGAGGAGGAGGAAGAGGAGGAGGAGGTCGGGGCTCTTCCCTGGGGAAGGTTCTTCATCCTGAGCTGTTTGTGTTGCGGCCCGGGGGGCCAGGGGAGAGCCCCGAGAGCCCGGAGCCGACGAAGAGCCTCGGGACCCGCTTCCCTCGGGACGCGCCTGCTCTGTTGACTGCAGGGCTTCGTCTCGAGGAGGCTCCGCTTCCTACATTTTCGGGGTCTTTCGTCCTTCCCCCCACCTCCCCTATTTCCCCCTGTTTTCTGGGGATCGACGACTCATTGTGTCTGTGTGCTTTTGTTCTTCCTCCTGAGAGGCTCCGTCGTCGCTGGCCGCCAGTGCGCTGCGCAGCCGTCGGGCGGGTTTCTGTCCTCCACCCCGCTTCCTATATTTTCTGGGTTCTTGTCCTCCCCCCCACTTCCCCTATTTCCCCCTGTTTGCTGGGGAATCGACGATCCATTGTGCCTGTGTGTTTTTTCCCTCTCCTGAGAGGCTCCGTCGTCGCTGGCCACCAGTGCGCTGCGCAGCCGTCGGGCGGCGCAGCGCACCGGCGGCTCGAGCGCGGCCTGACAGCCGAGAGGATGAGGAGCACGGGCCGGGCACAGGCCTGGCGGGCGGGGAGGAGGAGGAGGAGGAGGAGGAGGAGGATGAGGAGGAGGAGGACGACGACGAGGACGAGGAAGAGGAGGAGGATGAGTCAACCCGCGGGGTAAGCGTCAGGGTGCCCCTGCATCCTTCGGTGTTCGGCGGCGCTCCGCTCGAGGAACGTCAGCAGGGCCTCCCAGGGCCCCTGCATCCTTGGCGTGCATCCTCACTCCGCGGGTTGGCACAGGGGGTGGGTGGGTGGGTGGGCGGGACGCCATCACAGGGCGGCATTCATGAGCATGAGCCAGGATCTGCCGAGCTGCCTGCTGAGCTCGGGTAGGCGCCTTGGGCCAAACCCTTTGCGCAAGCGTCGGAGGCATGATGGGCAGGGGTCGGAGGATACGCGTTATGAGCCAGGGCCAGGGAGCGGAGGGGGGAGACAGGGAGGAGGAGGACGACGAGGAGGTGGAGGACGAGGCGGACGAGGAGGACGAGGAGGAAGAGCAGGAGGAGGAGGAGGAGGAGGAGGAGGAGGAGGAGGAGGAGGGGGAGGAGGAGGAGGAGGAGGAGGAGGAGGAGAAGGAGGGGGAAGAGGGGTAGAAGGAGGAGGAGGAGGAGGAGGAGGAGGAGGAGGATGAGGAGGAGGAGGAGGACGGGGAGGGGGAGGGGGAGATGAGCAGAGCTGGCGTCAAGGCCAGCAGCAGCCCCGACTTTGACAGGGCAACCCCCTCCGCTCCTCGTGCCCGGGCCCCCTCCCCCACCCCGGATTCCGTCCTCGCGCCGGGCGACCCCACGGGGCGTTGGGCCCTGGGCCCTCGGCAGAGGGCCCGGGCACGACGCGCGCGCTCACGCGGCCGTGCTTCGACAATGCACGCGCCGCCGCCGCCGCCGCCCTCGTCTTGAGCAGGGGCCGACCGCCCCGGCATTCCTGTAGTCCTACCACGAACTGTTCGTAGAACCCAAACACGTCCTAATACCAAAAACAGTGCTCTCAGAGCAGAAGCCCGATGTGTTGAAACAAGACGCGCCCAGCCAGAAATGTTCTGAGAACATTTCGTGGGAACCGCAAACGGTTCTTAGAACATTGCTTGGTGGGCCTGTAGGCGAGCCAGGACGCTTCGCCACTGCTCGACCCCCCGAGCCCATCTCCCCCAAACGTTGCCCGTTGGTTTCCATGGCGCAGCGCGGCTCTCCGGCGGCCGCTCGGCACGACTCGGCCACCCCTGTGGAACGCCCTCGGCGAGTCGAGGCTGCTGGAGAGCACGCTTCGCCACTGCTCGGCTCGTCGCCACCGGGCCAGCACGCCGTCCTGCCGCCCAGGACGCACACGCTGCCCCCGGCCGGGACCGCCGCCGCGCCCCAGCGGGGAACCTCTCGGCGGCGCGGCGGCGCGCGGGGGGCGGGGGGGGGGGGGGGTGTTGGGCCGGCGGGCGGGCCGCCTCCTCCTCCTCCTCCTCCTCCTCCTCTCCTCCTTCCTGCCTCCCCTCCTCCTCCTCCTCCTCCTCCTCCTCCTCCTCCTCCTCCTCCTCCTCCTCCCCCTGCTGGGCCGTCTGCGGCCGGCGGGGCGAGGCTGCTCCCTCTCCCATTTCCCGGGTCCTCCCCTGAGCCCCTGACCTCCAGAGACACATACGCACACCTCGGAGGGCCTCCGGGAACGCCGGGAGGCTGCCGACGATGCCAGAGAACCACCCTCGCCCCAACCTGCCACCTTACAGTCGGGGCCTTGACCTAAGGAACCCTAAATAAGGAACGAGGCCCCTTTTTTCCATCAGTTAAGCTTCGAATTCCGATCGAAGACCTAAGGAAGACCTAAGGCGAGCGGCAAAACAACTAAGGAACACTGAGCCCCTCCCAAACGAAAGGGGTTCCTTCTTCAGCGCCCCAACCTGCCACCCTACCCTTGCCTCGGCGTGGCTGCCTCAGAATCTTAAAAACAATGGCGTTGGTAGCAAGCTCGTTGGTGGGGCCCTTCGGTCGTCTCGGGCCGCAGATGGCTGGAGCCCGCAAGCGTTTTCCATCAGGATCTCCCCACCTTCTCCCACTCCCCGAGGGGGCGAGCATACCCTGGACCCACAAGGGGTCCTAGTGGTGTTTTTCTGGACTTCGTCCTGGGACTCCTGGCTCCTGACTCTCCTTCCCATGTCCAGAAAAAGAAGGGACTGCATAAAAAGAGAAACTTTCGGAGGTTCGCGCAGATTTGCTCGATCGGCGCCAGAGGCACCGCCGCAGGCGTCCCAGCGCCGATCCCCCAAATCCGCGCGGACCTCAGAACATGTATTTTGATGCAGTTGTTGCTGATTCGATTGTTCCTGCTCTTCCTCCTCCTCCTCCTCCTCCTCCTCCTGTTCGCCTCTTTCTCCTCTTTCTCCTCTTTCTCCTCGTTCTCCTCCTATTTCTCCTCCTATTTCTCCTACTCCTCCTCCTCCTCCTCCTCCTCCTCCGTTTCCTCCTCCTCCTCCTTCTTCTCTCCTTCTCTGTTCCTCTTGTTATCCCTGTATCCGTTTGTCATTTTCGCATGTTCTCCTTTCCTCCTCCTCCTCCTCCTCCTCCTCCTCCTCCTCCGCCTCTTCCTCCCCCCCTCCTCCTATATCATACTCTCCTGCTTCCTCCTCCTCCTCGCCGTCCTCCCCCCTTCCTCCTCCTCCTCTCCTCCTCCTCCTCCTCCTCTCCTCCTCCGCCCCCCTACCCTCCCTCCTCTTCCTCCTCCCCTCCTCCTCCTCCTCCTCCTCCTCCTCCTCCTCCTCCTCCTCCTCCTCCTCCTCCTCCTCCTCCTCCTCCTCCTCCTCCTCCTCCTCCTCCTCCTCCTCCTCCTCCTCATCGTCCTCCTCGTCGTCCTCGTTCTCCTCCTGGACGGCCTGCAGCGGGGCGAGGATGCTCCAGGCCCAGGTCTCTGGGTCGAAGCGCTCCACGCTGCGTAGCCCCGTCTGCCACGACCCGTCGCAGCCGCCCGCGACATACACGCGACCTGAGCTCCCCACGCGAGACCGCCCAGAGAAAGACGACGGCGACGGCGGCGGCGATTGCGACGGCGACGACGGCAACGGCGGCGCCTCCTCTCTCCTCCTCCGCCTCCCTCCTCCTCCTCCTCCTCCTCCTCCTCCTCCTCCTCCCTCCTCCTCCTCCTCCTCCTCCTCCTCCTCCTCCTCCTCCTCCTTGTCCTCATCTTCCTCCTTGTCCTCCTCCTTGTCCTCCTTCTCCTCCTCCTCCTTCTCCTCCTCTTCTTGTTGATGTCATGAGTTCCCCGCTAGAGAGCCTCACAATCCAAAGCAGCAAGATCACAGGAAAAGCATTCTGGCGGCAACCTCCGCCTTGAAAACTCCAGAAAGAAACCCTGAGCCATTCTCCTGATGGCCGTCTTGCTATGAGTCCTTGGGGCCTTACAGGGGATGAGAAACCTTCTCAACTGCCTCGCACTGTGGGCCCCACACCTCAAGCAGGCGACCCCAGGGTGCGAAGCATCACGAAGGGCATCCTCCGCCTCAAAACTCACAAGCCTGTGTCCTTCCCCTCCTTGCTCCTACAGCCCTCGGGCCATCCTGGCTCAGGCCATCTGGACAGAGCTGGCCGCGGCGGCCCCGCCTCGCACAGGGGCCCTCCTCCTGTCACGCTCTGTGCCCGTGCCCGTCCGAGCCGCACTCTTCGGGCGCAAGCTCTCCGCCGTTGGCTGCCGCCGCTGTCCGATGCGGCCACGGCCCTCCGGGCCCCTGGGTGGCCAGGAGCGCGCGGTGCTTGCCGTCGCTGGGACGTCCATCTCCCGTGCACTCTGTCGGCTTCGCGCGTGTGTTTTTTTGTTTGCTCGATGGTCCAGAATGGTCCTCGATGCTTCTCGCCGAGAACAAAAAAATGCACACGTCCGCGCGATGCCAAGGGCGCTGCCGAGGGCGCAGGCGGCGCCCGGGGCTGCCCTCGCCGGGCCTCCGCGGGCGCGCCGAGCCCGGGCGGCAGCGGCGACGCCGGCGGCCGCCGCACGGGGTGCGGCCCAAGCGCGGCGGCAGCGCCCCGGGCCCCTCGGCGCCGAAGCGTCGTGAGCAGCGGCGAGGCGCGCCCCCCGAAGCATGGGGGGCTTGGCCGTCGCCCCCTTAGGAAGGGGTGGGCCCCGCCTGAGAGGCCTACAGGGCAGCTTTTCATGCATAGGATTTGTTTTTAACATATAGAATGCGTAATCCATGATTCATGTATGAGTAGATGTATGCATGAACTCATCGTTGTTTTTGATACTAAATCCCTGCATGTTTCAAATACATGATCCGCACGCGGAGCATGCATTAAAAACGGCACTGTACGCAGGAGTTGTCTATACACCACCACCACCACTACCATGCCAGGCCAGGGCCATCCTGGCCCTGGTCTGGTGTACACGTCCTCCCGGCCGAGGCCAGGAGGTGTAGGGCCCAAGATGACCATGGCCTGGCACGGTGGTGGTGTATATACGCCTTCGTCGGAAAGCCGACGCTGTCGCGGTCCGGCCCGCCTCTTCGCAGCCGCGGCTGCGCGGCCGGCAAGGTCAGCAGCTTGGCAACGTTTGTTGGCGTGGGCCTCCGTGTGGACGTCGCCGCCTTTTTCTCCGAGGCCTCGTCATCAGAGAGCGGCGCCTGCTCAGTGGGCATGGGCACCTCCAGCACCGAGGCCCAGGGAGCGGCCAAGAGCGTGCGGATGCGCGAGGAGGCCGAGCAAGTCGAGGTCGCCTCGGGCGTCTCCCGCTCCGTGCTCGCCCCCCGTGCACCGAGAACAGCATGCCGAGGGCCGAGTCGGACCCGAGACTGATGTGCAATAACGCTATAAAAAGGGCTTCCAACGGGTAGACGCTGCGCTTTGCGCAGCCGTGAAGGTCGCGTACGACTGTGTCGGGCAGGCTACCTGCATGGAGGAGATGATCGCGCCCGCCAAAAAAGAACCCACGGAATCCGACATCGAGTCGGACATGGTGCCGCCGTTCGAGCCCACCCTCACCAAGACTATCGTGCTAGAGTCAAGACCCGCAAACCGTATATGATGGAGACGTTTGTGCCCGCACCTTGGAAGCCAAGAGGTCCGACGTCGATCCGGGCAGGGTACCGCAAGGCCCAGGCGTCAGCGCCACGTGCTGCTGAGGACGGAGAGATGCTGACGAAGCCTGATGGCCCTGAGGACGTCGAGCCTGGAGCCCCGTATGCCAGTCCTGCTGTCAAGACTGGGTAGCCTCATGGCCGAGCCCGCTAGCCTCCAGGCAGGCAGTCCTTGTTTCCTCAGGACAGAAGCCGCTTTCGATGATTCGTTCTGGTTCTCTGTCACATAAACACATATAGAAATGTACATGTTAACCAGCGTGGACCCAAAGAGCTCGTTTCTACCAAATACGGTATGCAATACATGCGGAAGAATCTGCATTGTGCAACGTGTGCTGTGCAACATACGTTGTGCAATCTATGCTGTGCAACGTACGGTGTGCAACACATGTGGCGCAATCTACGTGGTGCGAGGCAGCAATTCGCCTTGAAAGCGTTGCAGTTGTCAATTCCAGTGTTCGCGCAATCGTCCCACCCACCCACCAGCAACTTGGTGTGCAAAACCCATGCGGCGGCGATTGCGGTGACTGCTTGGCGCTGGTTGGCGCATCGCTGCGGCCACAGTGACGCTGACCGCTGGGGACTTCCCAGCGCGTCTCAGAGGCCGCGCGGACGCGCGGGCACTTCAGTGCGAGTCGGTGACTCGGGCGGGCGCGGCATCATGGCGACGCCAACAACGGCAGACACGATGATGATAGTAGCGATGATGGTGACGATGATGACGATGACGACGGCAAGGCCAATGACGGCGCCGATGCTGGTCACGCCGATGGCGATGATGGTGCCCAGGTGTCGGCGATGAAAATGTTGGGAGAACTTCGGCATGCGCGCGCTGCCGACGCAGGCGAGTGGCCCGCATGGTATTGTGTGGCAGGTATCGTGCCCCCCCCCCCAGCAAGCGCACACAGGCGTTCGAATGAGTTCGACATGCGCGCGCGAGAGGCCCGTTTGATTGCATGTGATGGGAATGTTGAAAACCAACGGTGTTCCAACTACGTCGCAAACGCGCGCATATTCGTGGGTTGGGGAGATCTGCTGCAAAACCACTGGGTTTTCTTTTTTCTGGAAAATCGGCACTGAAATCCCTACGGAGCCTAAGGTGCTCAACAAAAAAGGCATGCGCGCGCAACGACACGCGCGTGTCGACTTTGTCCCATTTTCCTCAAACAGCGTTTGCACTTAGAGGTTCTTGCTTCTCTTCTGAGCTGGGCTGGTGCCCCAACAGGCCACCAGCAAGCCCCCGAACAGCCCCAGGACGTCCCCGAGAGGCCCCAAGAAGCTTCCCAAAGGCTCCCAAGAGAGCCCAAACGCATCATTCTGGACGTGCATTGGAGGCCTGGAAATGGGCACCAACACCAAGACAGGGGGTTGCCTCCACAGGGGAACGACGATCCTAGATCTCGGTGTTGGTGGCAATATTTCGGTCACCTTGGAAGCCAGAATACTACCACCACCTAGATCGGGATCTTCTGCCCTCGGTCGGGGCACACCGCCGAAATTGGTGTTGGTGTCAACCTCTAGGCCTGCGAGGTCTGAGGGGCCGATTTTCCTCCACCACCACCACAGGGAGAAGAGGAGGAATGATGATGATGATGATGATGATGATGATGATGATGATGATGATGATGATGATGATGATGATGATGATGATGATGATGATGAGGATGAGGATGAGGAGGAGGAGGAGGAGGAGGAGGAGGAGGAGGAGAGAGGGGAAAGGAGGAGGGGGAGGAGGAGGGAGGAGGAGGGAGGAGGAGGAGGGGGAAGGAGGAGGAGGAGAAGGAGGACGTCCCCGAGAAGCCCCCGAAGCTTCCAAAAGGCTCCCAAGAGAGCCCAAACGCATCATTCTGGACGTGCACCCCGCGAAGCGAGAAGAGCGCACAGACGGGGGCGCACACGCCCCCAGAAGCGCGAGACCAACGCCGCCCGATGTGGCGCCGGAGCGCGCCGGTTCTGCGCGGAGCCGGACGCTCCTCCTCCCCCTCCTCCTCTCCCTCTCCTCCCCTCCTCCTCCTCCTCTCCTCCTCTCTTCCCTCCTCTCCCCCCTCCTCCTCCCCCTCCTCCCCCTCCTCCTCCTCCTCCGACTCCTCCTCCTCCGCCTCCTCCTCCCCCTGCGCTCTCGCGGGGAAGGCACCCTCGCGACAACACGCGCGCCGAGCATCCGCTGCCCAGCGCTCCGAGCCCCGGGCCGTGCGCCGCGGCCGCCGCGGCCCTGCGCGGCGCGCGAGCTCTCGCGCGCGGAGCGCGGGGGCTGCCGGGGAGCGGGAGGTGAGGGGGGGCGGGGAGGCGGCCAAAGTGGAGAGGGAGGGTTGAGGGAAACAATTAAGCACCGCTCCCCCCCTCCCCCGCAATTCAAAGTGGACAGGTTTTCGCAAGACCGCTCGGAGGCCCAAAACTGGAAGATCCGAAACCAACATTGCATTTGTGGGGAGGGCGGGAGGCGGCCAAAGTGGAGAGGGAGGGGGGATGTGGAGGGGCCAAAGGGGAGGGGCCACATGCGAGCCCTGCCCCTACCCCCCACGACTTCTGAGGGGGAGGATGGGGTTCACTTCGTTCGGGGAGGCGGCCAACGTGGAGAGGGAGGGTTGAGGGAAACAATTAAGCAACGCTCCCCCCCTCCCCCGCAATTCAAGGTTGGCAAGTTTTCGCAAGACCGCTCGGAAGCCCAGAATTGGAAGATCCGAAACCAACATTGCATTTGGGGGGGGGATGGGGGGGGTTCAAACCATCTGTTCTGCATGAGTGTTGCTTAATTGCTTCCGACACCTGGAGGGGGGATGTGGAGGGGCCAAAGCAGGGGGCCACAGGCGAACCTACCCCTACCCCCCACGATTTCTGAGGGGGAGGGTGGGGCTCATGTGGCCCCCTACAAAGGGGAGGGGCGAGTGCAGGGGAGAGATCTATTTTCACAGCGTCAGGCCAATGCCAACATGGGAACGCTGCGAAGGTCCGGGGCGAGGGGCGGGCGAGCGAAAGAGTCAAAGGTCGCGGGCGGGCCGCAGTTTGGTGGCAGACCGTGCCGCGACGACCGCAGGAGGAGCAAGACGCCATGCCCCTGGCCTTAGCACCACCGGCAGGCCACAGAGCAGCATGGGGTGGGTCGCAAGAAGCCGCGTAAGAAGCACTATGCGGACCAGGGCGAGGGGTGGGCAAGCGACGAGGTCAAAGGCCCCAGGCGGGCGGCAATGTTGTGGCAGCCCAGTCCGCGACCGTAGAAAGAGCAAGACGCCATGCCCCTGGCCTTAGCACCACCGGCAGGCCACAGAGCAGCATGAGGTGCGTCGCAAGAGGCCAGCGTCCTCCGAGCTCCGTGGTGCGGGATGTCCACGGCAGTCCCGACCACGGATGACAAGAGTGCCGAACCATGCTTGCACCGACTGAGCACCACGAGACAAGGGCAGCGCACAGGCTGCAACCGGAGGAAGATGCCCTGGACATGATTTCCTGGACGGCAGCTTGCGCCCGACGAAGTCCTGCTTCCCTTCCAAGACTTGTGGCCGCACAGCACCTATAGCTACCCTACTGTTGGGCGTGGCTTCATGGGGGGGTGCTCATAGATGGGGGGGTCGGAAACGGTCCCCTTTCCTACCCTGTTCGAGCCCCTCCGGAGCCCCAGGGGGCTCGTCTAGTTACCGTTTGGGTACATTTTCGGACCACCCTCGCCACCCCCCCATTTGTGACCCCCCACTACGCGACGCCCAATACCGAATACCAGTCACGGGCCTGGGCGCTCCGCATGACGCTGCCCGTCCTGCTCCTCTCCCAGCCACTGCTTGGGTTATCGTCTCACGTGAAGCAAAACGGACATGCAGGTCTCCTCATCATGTACACCCAGGGTCGTCACGAACACGATCCTCTTCCTCCTGCTGCTCCTCCTCCTCCTCCTCCTCTTCCTCATCTTGCCCCATCCGCTCCTCATGGTTCTACGTTCGCGGCCGATTGGAAGGCGCAGCCAAAGCGACAGACACGATCTGCAAACGGACGTACGTATCGTGAAAAACGTATGGCTTCTGAGCGCTCTCCCTGAGGGCGTGACAATTCAGAACTTCGGTGAACACAGGAATGCCAGGTTTCGCAGTCCTCGTCCAATGTTGTTGGCTCACGGTCCCATCCCTGGCTGGCTAAGAAAGACCACCGCAAGGGCCGACTCATGTCAAAGTAGGCTTGGGGTGGGCGAGCCAAGCAATCAACGGCCGCGGCCGGGCGGCAATTCAGTGGCAGCCCACTCCGCCACCGTAGAAGGAGCAGAAAGCCATGTCCCTGGGTTCAGTACCACCAGCAAGCCACAGAGCAGCCCCAGATGGGTCGCAAGAAACCAGCGTCAGCCGAACTGTGTCGTGCAGGATATCCACGACAGTCTCAACGATGGATAACGAAAGTGCCTTCGTCCCAACCCTAACCTTAATTAAAATTGGCTGCCCTATCGTAAGCTACCTTGGCCCCGCACACGAAGCAAAATGAGCACGCAGATCCTTCTCCTCCCCCTCCCAATCGCAATCGCAACATAAGTCCAGAGGCGAGCAGCCGAAGCTACCTAGCTCAAACCCTCCTCCTCCTCCTCCTCCTCCTCCTCCTCCTCCTCCTCTTCTTCCCCCATCCGCTACTCGTGGTTTTACGCGCTTGTGACGCGTGGACGGCGCGGCCAAGACGGCGGACACGATCTGCACCTGGACGTACGAACCGAACAGCGTATGGCTTCTGAGCGCTCCTCC